CTGTCTCCCCGCCGGCCCGCCTCACCTGCTGCTGGACACAGCCGTGATCTCCGGAAAGGCCAGCTCCAGGAGCACCTGTTCCTGCTCGTCCACGAAGTAGACGCCCGTCCAGTTGACCGCCACGATGACGTCGTTCTTCGGGAGGGTGGGGCCTGGGCCGGAGACCGCGCTCAGAGGGAGCCTCCCCACTGCCAACCCGGCCCTCCCAGGCATCGCCAGAGGGAGGCAGCTGGGGGGCAGCTGACTGACCGCATTTTATAGACAGGGAAACTGAGGCTCCAAGAGTACTCCCCGCCCCACCAGGCCAAAGGCCGAGGTGCTGAGTCAGGAACCGGCTCGAGTCCCACACCTGCCACTGGACCTCGTGTAACTCCGGACAAGTCCTGCCCCGCACCAGGAGGGTGCAGGAGGGCTGGCGTCACCATGCCCTGGTTCCCCTGGCCCTGACACGTGGGGGTCAGTGAAACTCAGTGTGGCACCAGGCCCACCACAGAGCAGGTGCCCAGAAACGCAGGCCTGGGGATGGCGAGGGCCGAGGGGCGGTGCTGGTGCCGGCTGTCGTGGGGTGCTCGGGCCGCACTCTTCCACACAGCAGGGTCCTCCGTGGGGCCATTCAGTTGTCACACCCGGGTCTGCAGAGCACCTGCCTGCCCTGGGCCCTGCTGGGCTGCGGGGGGAGGGGACTCGACTCCACAGGGACCGAGTGGCCCTGGAGCCTGCAGGCAGGGGTCGTGCTGAGTGGGGAGCCCGGCTCAGGAGAGGCCTGGGAGGCCGCGGGTACCTGAGAACCTGTAGGCTTCGTAAAACCTGGAGAAGAGCAGGGGCCACTTGAAGCGGGCGTAATTGACCACATCTTCTTTGACCTTCTGGGCATCAGTTCTCCTCTGGGCATAAATCCCCTGGGGGCAGGGGCACACCATGCGCCAGCTGCCCTGGAAGTCAGAGCTCCCAGGGCGCCAGGGCTGGCCCAGATCTTCAAACTCAGTTGCATTCTGAGTCCCTGGGTGAGGGTTTCAGCATGTGAACAGGAGGGGGGTCGAGCTCAGGAGGGGCAGACCCTGAAGTGGATGGCCACGGGTCCCCTGCCAGCAGCAGTGCCCCCACCCCACCCCCTGCCCACCCGGACACCCTGCTCGGCTCGGCAGGCTCTAGCCGGGAAGGAACTAGTCACAGTTAGTATGGGCCTTGGGCTCTGGGAGTGAGCGAGGCGGAGGCGGCTGCAGCCCTTGTAGGAGAAAGCGGCCACCTTCTGTCAGAGGAGCTGCCTGCAGCACCCAGCCCACCACTGCCGAGGGGCTCTGGAGGAGCTTCCGCACTGTCAGTGGCGGGCAGCTGGTACGAGGCTAGGAGGGGGAGCCTCCTGCCCACAGACCCCCTCTTCCCTTACGAGGCCACAGGACTGGGCCGGAGCCTTCCCTGTGTCCCCAGCACCCAGCCCCCAGCAGACAGCAGAAGACCTGAGAGGCCCGATGCTCATGGAGGAGAAAGGTCTGCTAGAGGTGGGAGGTCGGCCCTGGCAGCCCTCCGGACAGATGGACGGATATCAGGTGAGCCGGGGCTCTCTCGAGGGCTCAGGCCTCGCCCCTCCTCCAAGCCCCGTTCCTCTCCCACCTTCTTGTGGGCAGCAATGGCCAGCTGGGCCCACTTCTCCAGCGTCCTCAGGGGGGTGATCTCGCGGTCGGGGATGTAGGTGGGCACGAGGTTCAGGAGGCGCTCCAGGACCATCTCGGAGCCGTAGTCCACGAAGTACTGCTGGGAGGCCAGCTCGGCCAGGTCGTCCTCCTAGGGGCAGGGGGCTGTGTCGTGACCCGGCCCAGGCCCTCCCGGCCCGGCCTCCTGCGCTCTCAGACCTAGGCCTGGGGGTCCCTGGGTCTGACTCGCCGTGGGATTCTCGTCTGTCGGTGGAGCCACGTTGCCTCCTCCTGGGCCCCTCAGCACCCACGCGGAGCTGGACTCTGCCCCGGGGCACAGAAGCAGCCGGCCTGCGAGCAGCCACTACACACCCAGCCCTGGAGACTGAGTTAGAACCGGCAGCAAGAGGAGGGAAGGGCGTGCTCGGAGAAAGGAGACCTAGGGACGGCGGGAGGCAGTGGGCAGGAGGGAGCGCGTCACCGGAGCTGCTTCTCTCACTCTGCCACGCCACCTGGGTGAGACTGAACCGGGGCCTCCACTGCAGAGGCTTCAGAGAACCAGGCAGGCACTGGCATGTACCCCTTCTCTGCCTGGGCTGGGGAGGCCTATCTGGGGCTCCCTAGGCATCAGCAGCAGGGGCAACAGGGATGGTTCTTGGCGGCTCTGAAGGCAGCAGATATTTTCCAATTAGTTTGACGTATATCAGGATCTGAGTAACTCATATGGCTGTGCTAATGCGTCCTGACTGAATAGTAGCTTACTACCACCGGCACCACTATGATCACGGCTATCAGCAACTACCACCGCCATCACCACCACCACCACCACCACCATCATCACCAATGAATACCGTCGCCACCATCATCAACAACAAATACCACCGTCACCACCACCAATGAATACCATTACAAATACCACTGTCATTACCAACACCACCATCACCAGCAAATACCATCATCTTCACCACCAACACTACCACCATCACCAACACCACCATCACTGGCACATACCACCACCACCAAATACTGTCATCACCACCACCACCACCATCACCAATGAATACCATCGCCACCATACTCAACAACAAATACCACCATCACCACCACCACTACCACCAAATACTGTCATCACCACCACCACCACCATCACCAATGAATACCACCACCACCACCATCACCAGTGAATACCATCGCCACCATCATCAACAACAAATACCACCATCATCGCCACCACCACAATCGCCAACAAATACCACTGTCATTACCAACACCACCATCACCAACAAATACCATCATCTTCACCACCAACACTACCACTACCACCATCACAAACACCACCATCACTGGCACATACCACCTTCATCACCAACATCATCACCAACAAACACCACTATCACCAACACCATCACCAACAAATACCATCATCATTATCATCACTACCATCACCAACACCACCATTACCACTACTGTCATCACCAACACCACCATCACCAACAAATACCATCATCCTCACCACCAACACTACCACCATCACCAACGCCACCATCACTGGTACATACCACCTTCATCACCAACACCATCACCAACAAATACCATCATCACCACCACTGTCATCACCAAGACCACCACCAACAACAAATACCACTGTCATCATCACCAATACCACCACCAACATATGCCACTTTCATCATTACTGCCACCACCAATGCCATCACCACCAACAAATACCATCTTTATCACAACCGTCATTATCAACACGATCTTCACGACCAAAACCATCATCACCAATACCATCTTCACGCCCAACAATATCACTGCAGCCCCCATCATCACCAACGCCATTGTCACTGAAAGACAATGTCATTTCCAACCACCATCACATCTTCATTTCCACCTGCTCCATCCACATCCCTCCATCGTAATCACTAACTTAAGCACAGCACCACCATCACGCCGTGCCTGTTCTCAGGAGATGGAGAACACGCATTTGTGATTTGCTCACTGTCTTCCCAGAGCAGAGCTGACTGGCCCCTCTCAGAGTAACACGGCATGTCCTGAGAAACGTGTTCTGCTGCAATCGCGGCAGCAGTGAGGGACCCCTTCCACTCACAAAATTCAGGATCCCTCAGAGCACCGATTCTGTGGTTTGTCCTCATCTTCGCAACCCCATGAGGTAGGAAGTGTCCGATCCAGGACAGCCCGCAGCGCGCCCCTGCAGTCAGCTCACCCCTGTAGTCAGCTCACCAGGGTCACTGGCGATGTGCCACGCACGCAGCCCTCAGCCCAGTTTGGGAGCGGCTGTGGGCTCAGCAAAAAGCACGCCCGCACTCACCTTCTCACACCGGTACTCCCCGAACTTGACCCCTCGCACCACCTGCTGGTAGATGAGGTTGGTGGCCACGCTGTCTTCCGAGGGGTTGTGCCAGGGTGTGAAGACCTCTTTGCGGAAGAAGAGCCTCCAGGGGGCATTGCGCTCCTGGGCACCCTGCTCCTTGGCGTACTGCTCGCACTGGGAGATGGCGTCCATGACGTGGTCACTGCCGCTGCCCAGGGAGGACACCTGTGGGCAGAGAGAAGGCGCTGAGAGGCTGGCCAGGCTTCGATGGAAACCCAAGCCTGGAGAGGCAGGGATGTGCCCCAGGTCCCCCAGGACACGAACCTCCTGGGGACCCCTGGGTCAGGTGTGGCTCTGAGCCAGCACAGCGCCGACCCCTCCAGCCTGGTTCGGGCAGGTACGAGGAGCTTGGCTTCCGGGCAGAGGCTCGCTGTGGAGCTGTTGGACAGAACGTCCCTGAGACGCGGAGGCTTCGCCAGGTGAGAAAAGTCTGGGCCAACTGCCTCCAAGAACATGGGTCTGTTACTGCCCTTGATGGGAAGTGCCGTGTGACGTTGCTGGACTGGCGGTGAAATCCCCCCCCCCTCGCCTCGGCCCAGCTCAGAGGGAAGGCTCCGGGCCCAGGGCGAGCCAGGGGCGAGCCCGGGGATGCTCCAGCGGCTCAGGAACGAGATGAGCTGCCGCTTGCTGGGCGGCTTCCTGGCCCCCTCCTCGGCACCTGAGTCGGCTGTGTTCCCACTGGAGAAAGCCAAGGGGCTGCCGACCCTCCAGTGTTGTGTTTTGTTTGTTCGTTTTTGTTTTTGGTTTTACAATTGCCAGAGGGTGTGTGCACTTGGCAGAGAGTGAGAGGGAGAAGAGGGGAAGCACCTCATGGTCACACGGCAGTCCCCTCTCCCCACCTCTCCTCTCAGCAGTTTGGGTACGTATGCACATGCACCTGGCATTCATCAAGTTGCCAGGGCCCAGATTCGAACTGTGGTTGACCATGTGGGATCTGGCTCCTTCGACCTCTAGGACACAGGGCCGTCCCTCCGAGGGCGTCTTTCTGTGGCACCAGGGGAGGACCTACGTGGCCTGGGCACAGGCACCAGGAGGGAGCTCAGAGCTCTCCTGCAGAATCTGCTCTTGGCATCCCAGTGGTAATCCCAATGGGCCGGGTGCTGTTGGCCCAGGACACCGGGGTCTTAAAGGTAAGGCGCCGGCAGGTGGCGTGGTGGTTAAGGTGCTGGCCTCCCACGTGGCCAGCCGCAGTGCCTTGCTTACACAATTTCCCTCTCTCTCTCTCTGTACATCTCTGGTCAAATTAAGTAATAATAATAATAATAATAATAATAATAATAATAAGGGAAATTAAGTAACAAAAATCATTCAGGGGCTGCACAGGGTCACCTGGCCAGTAGGGGGCGGCAGAGACCGGGAGTGGTACCCGGAGGTGCAGGAGGGAGGCCCTACCTTGTCAAACAGGGCGATGTAGAGAGAGAACCCAAAGCGGTCCCTGAGCGAGATCTTGTCCGCCAGCGCGTTGCAGAGCTCCTTGGCCGTGGTGGCTGAGTCTGTCAGCAGGGTCTTGGTGGTCCCGTCCATGAACGTCACGGGCAACATGATGGGCTTCTTGGACTTGGTGGCCTGGAAGTGACGGAGAGGCACACGAGGTCCCTTCACTTCGCACCAGCTTAGTTCCTTTGGACTCAGCCTTCCTGTGGGGTTGGCACTGGCCCTGAGCCCCAGGCCCCAAGCACCTCACAGGGACGTCCCCGTCCCTGTCACAGGGGGCCAGCCATACACCCTACCCTGAGGGACCTTGAGGGCCCCCGTGCTGAGGTCCCGAGGCTGGGGATCAGGCACTGCCACTGGCCAGGGCTCAACCTCACCTCACAGCCCCACCCCAAGACCCACGAGGAGGTGACAGTCGGCACCTCTTACCCAAGTCCCTTGCCATAAAGGCAGCACATGGGCTGGGCCAGGCATTCCAGAGGGCCAGGCATGGGAGGGGGAGCCATCTGGGGGACTAGGCATGAGGGGGGCAGCTATCTACAGGGGGAAACATGGGGGAATCCATCCTAGGGACCATTCCTATTCGGATGAGCCTGGGGTTCCAGAACTGAGGGTGCGCTCTGGAAGGTATCCCAAAGCAGGCAGCACTGCTGGGCACTGGAGTGTGCAGACACACATGCGTGCATGTGCACACTCACACACACACACATGCACACACATGTGCGCACTCAGACATACACGCACACACATATGCACACACACACGCACATTCACACGCACACATGCACACACACACGCACACGGGAGGGGGCGCACTTGCAGCTCCAGCCAGCTGGGTGGCTGAGTCCGTGTCCCGTTCACGAAGGTCCTTCTCAGCCGCTCCTCACAGTAGGGGGCGTAGCCGGGCGGCCCGCCGTGGATGAAGTTGCGCAGGTACTGCAGATAGGAGCCCGTGAGGCAGCACCCTAGGCCTCCCTGCTTGGCTCCCACCCATACAGGGACTCAGCTCCTCAGGCATGTTCGCCCGCACCCTGGTCCACCCCCACCTGCTGCCCTCTGCAGCACCCCACCCCTCAGCCTGGCCCAGAGACCTGTGAGCAGAGGCCGGGCCACTGTCTGGCAGACTTAGCTGCCTCATTAGCTTATGGAGCTGCTAGAGAAGATAGCTAAGCGGGCTGCCTGGTGGAGGGGTCCCAGGAAGCACAGGGTGGGGTGATCACTGGCCCTCCTACACTCCCCTTCCAGGCGGGCGCCCTCACCTTAACGAACTTGTCGGAGGGGGCGAAGCAGCCCACACACAGGGCCACGAGGATCCAGCCCCGCGCGTGGCTGCTCTTGGACGGGTTGTGGGTGAGCTGCTTGCTGATCTGGCAGTAGATCTCGTCCCTGGGGAGCAGGGGCACCTCAGGGAGCAGCCACTGTCCCCCAGACATGCTGTCCTCTCCGCTTGCCCGAGACCACCCAGGTGGAGCCCAGGGCTGGAGCCGGGCAGGGCCTGGCACCGGAGAGCGGATGGGCAGTCAGAGGGTGCAGTCTCAGCTCCACTCAGCACATAGCCATGGCCACGGGGGACCCCTGCTGCATCCCGGACCAGCAGGTGTCGGGGTCACCTCTCTGACCCAGCCCACAGTTAGACGACAGGACAAGCCTCTGGGGTCCTGGGATGGACGAGTGGAGATGGCTCCTTGCTGTGGAGTGGCTGCGCTTCGCTTCTCAGTGACAGGAGGGCGATGAAGGTGCCTCGTTCTGTCATTACAGGGCTCCTCACAGGTCACTCAGGGAAGGTGGCCCCAGGCTTGTAGAGCACCCAGCCCCAGCCCGGTACCACCTGCTGTCAGTGAACTCCCACCCCCTGCCTTCGCTGGGGCCTCCTCTGCAGACGGTGTCCGGCCAGATGGCCGCCTGCCTGCTCGGGGCCACCAGGGGGCGCTCTTCCTCCAGAGGCCAGGGCCCGGCAGGAAGGAGGCAGTTCTGACTCAGGGGGCTCCTCAGTCTTTTGAGTTCAATTAAACCTCCAGGTAAATTCCATAATTGCCGCCTGTCCCACGTGCCACAAAAGACCATCTAGGACCGGCCTGCCCAGCGCCCCAGCCACTCCTCGAAGCAGTCCCTGCAAATACCCGGACGGGAGGGCTGGCGTGGCAGCTCGGAGTGACCCTTACAGGGCTGCTGTAGAGACATCCTTCGGGGGTGTCTCTGGATGTCATCCAGAGCCGGGTGGCCCCATGACGTGTGCCCGTCTCTGGGGAACAGGGTGGAAGGAGGTCTGGCTGGGAGGCAGGAGGCCTGGGAGCACCTGACTCTGCCCACGTTACAGAAGGGGAGACTGAGGCAGAGAAGGGAAGATTAGCGTGGCCCCCCGGGAATCCACACCCAGCCTCTGCCTCGGTTCTCTGGGAGTGGCAAGTACACTGGTGAGGTCACTAGGAGGTGAATTCTGGCCCCTTAGACACCCTGCGGCGGCCACCTGCCCCCAGAGGTGGCTGGCCCCATGACGTGTGCCCGTCTCTGGGGAGAGGGGTGGGAGGAGGCCTGGCTGGGAGGCAGGAGGTCTGGGACCAGGTGAGCCCAGCTAGTCTCTTCCCTGCCCTGGGACTCAGTTTCCCCAGCAAGAGAATGGGCCCACACGCCCGTCCCCACGCTGTCCTCTGCTCCCAGCTGTGTTACCCGGCATGACCGGCTCTCCTGACTCACCTCCCCTGAGCAGGGCTCTTGGACATGGCCTAGGCTGTGTCGACACCTCCCTTATTCCCATTACCCTGGACCTCCCGCCCGCTCCCCAATACCCAGGGGCTTGGGGGAGGCATTTGCAGGATTCCCAGGCCTCTGTCTGGGCAGGGTGTGTGCCCCGAGGGTGGCAGGCAGCGATGGGGACACAGCAATGAAGCAGTCGGATCACGGCAGTCACACTGCAGCCGCCCTTGGCCGAGCGCCAGAGTGGGTGACAGCTTCTGGCAGCTCTGCCTTCCCTCAGCTGCCACCTGCGTGGCAAGGACACACGTCCCCCTGACAGCCTGACAGCCTGGCGGGGCTCGGAGAGGAAGCCCGGCCCAGGCCCAGGCCTGTCTGCCACCCTGTGGCGAGGGAACCACAGCCACAGCTCGGCCCCCTGAAGGCCTCTCAGGTCCTGCCAGGAGTGCAGCCCCTCTGCCCTGGCCACCCCCCTGCCCAGGGGCTGCCACCTGGGTGCCCCGCCTGGGACTGACCGCAGCGTGGGCCGCAGGATGCCGTTGCCGATGATGAAGTGCAGCTTCTCGAGGTTGGACGTGGGCCGGTCCTCCAGCATGCTGTTGCCCTGTGCCGTGGGCTCCCCATCCTGCAGCCTCTTGGTCACCTGGGCCAGAAGGGGACAGGTTTGCCCAGGGCAGGTAAAGTCGGGGTACCCCCCGCCAGCCAGGGCACTAGCGCCCGAGTCTGCCCACTCCCTGGAGAACAGAACCTGGGAGTGGCCAAGAGAGCTGGGATCCTGCTGCTGGACACCAGCCCACATGTCCCTGCCCCTCACTAGACACACGTGCACATGTGCACACACATCCACATGTGCACACGCATGGCCGGAGCACTGGCCAGGGCCCCCCCACTTCTGGAGGTAAGGCTCCTCTACAGCCTCCTTAATATCTGCCCAAGCCCCCAGCCCCAGGGAGGCCTGCCAGCCAGGACAGGGCCTGCTTGTCCATCTCTCCAGGGGGACCTTGTGCCCCACCCTGGCACCCAGAGGACACCCCAGGTTCTAAGGGCCCTGGCGCTGACGTGAGCAGCCTCAGACTGGCTCTTCAGAGACGAGGTCCTCCTGGTGCCACACAGCCATAGAACCAGCCCCGCACTCCCTGCCTCACCCAGAAGAGAGACCGAGAGGCCGACAGGAGGGGGCCGGGAGGGACGCGGTGCTCCAGCTCCTGCACACCCTCAGCCGCCTCTCCCCTCCTGCCAGGGTCCATCAGGCCGTTTCTTCCCTGGGCCCTCAGGTACTGCATGGGAGAAGAACCCACCCCTGAGGCCAGGTGGCTGCAGGCTGGACTTGCGCCTCAGATGGGGCAGGATAAGGAAACAAAGTGAAGCAGGAGCCCCTGGTTCTGCATGAGTGACCAGGGGAGGCTTCCTGGAGGAGGGGCCCCCAGGCGGAGGGGCTGGTATCTGTAAATGTCGGGGCATGGGACAGCCAGTCCCCAAGGCTATGAGTGCTGTGTTCTCTGCGTGACCCTGACCCCACCTCCTGGGAGATCCCGGAGCCAAGGGCTGGGCGGGAACTCAGAGGTGACTAACAGCAGCGGTGAGAGCTCTGAGAGCCGTCTTCCAGAAGCCTCTTCTGAAAGGGCCTCAAACCCTTGAACAGATGCCCTGGAGCCATGCCCTGGTGGGAAATGGCCTCCCTCCCCAGGTGCCCCTCGAATCCTCCTGGCTGTTGGCTTCTTCCTCCAGGAAGCCCTCCTGGCCTGGCCAGCCAGAACCCCAAGGACAGTGTCCACTCACGCTCTGGCTCCCTCGGTCCTCACCTCCTCTGTGAGTTTCGACTTCTTCTTCAGGGTCAAGTGCACCAGCTTATGCCTCATGCTGCTCTTCTGCCCCTGGGAGACCTGGGCCTGCTGTCAGGAAGCCATGAGCGGCCTGGGGTCATTGCACCTCCCCAGGAAGACACAGGCACGTGCCCTCCCTGCCACCTCCACCCCGCCCCCACCAGCCAGCGGAGCGCCCTCAGCCATGGCTGGCACTTTGCAGGTCGCAAGGTCACACGTATGTTCCCATAAGCTGAGCGGGGCAGGGGGCGCGGGTGCGGAGGCCGGGATGAACTGCAGGGGGAGCTTTCTGTGGAGGAGCAGGCCGGGCTGGGCCTCACCTCGCCCTCGCCCTGCAGGGCCTGCAGCTCCCTCTTGTAGGTCTTCTTGCCCAGGGTCTCGTAGATCTTGGTCATCACGGGGATCTTCTCACTGCCGTCGCTCATGGCCGTGTGGTACTTGGGCTCAGGGAGGTCCCCCATGAACCGCAGGATGGTGATCCAGACTGCCAGGGCCGCCTGGGACACAGGGCACATGTCAGGGCCTGCATGGGGCCACTGCTAAAGCCGCCGGGGCAGCTTGGCGGTTTGCAGAGAGGGCCCGCCAGAGCCCACTGTCCCGGCGCCCACGGCCACAGCCGGGCAGAGTGGCCGGCCCAGCCCAGCGGCCCAGCCGGCCGCCTCACCAGCTGGTCGCCCTCATCGTCATGGTAGAGCAGGGGCTGCTTGAGCGGCCGCCGGGTATAGGAGTGCGAGGTGGTGCCCTGGAAGTAGGTGGCCGCGAACTTGGCGAACTTGTACTCGGAGAGGTCCTCCTCGTCCTCGTCGGGCAGGGGCAGGGCTGTGTCCAGGTCCTCCTCCTCCATCTCCCGCCGTCCTCCCTCCAGGTCCTGAGGAACAGAGGGGTCTCTGCCGTGTGCGCCTGGCCCGCTGGGCAGGAGGTCCCTGGGGCAGACCCAGGCATGCTGCCGGCCTAGCTGAGCCTCTGGGCTGCTCTGTCCCAGGAGGGGGTTTGTCCAGCCACCGCCCAAGCAGAGCCTCAGCAGGGCATGGAGGACGCTATTGGCAGCGGCCCTAGGAGGGATGGTGACCAGCTCACAGCCCCATGGCAGATGGGGACATGTCAAAAATGCTCCCGTCTGTTCCCAGGGCCACAAGAGGAGGGGGCTGGCCACAGGGGCACCCTCTGGTACCTCAAAGCCGCTAGGTGCCTGGCCCTCCTGGCCTGGCAGGCCGCCAGAAGTCCCCAGGAAGCCGAACATCTTGTCCACCATGTCCGAGTGGTTGACGGGCTCGTGGCGGGCCCTCTCCATCTGCTCCAGCAGCTCCTTCTTCCGCCGGGCCTCCTCCTTCTCCGTCAGCTCCCGCTCTGCGTCCTCCCGGGCCAGCTGCGCCAGGCGCTCCTGGGAGATTGGGGTGACATGGTGCTGCCTGGTTCCCTGCCACAGCCTCAGGGAACAAGCCCTCCTCGGGAGAGCAGCCAGGGGATCAGGACCAACCTCCACCGGGTCCTCCTGCCTGACAGGGGGACCAGGCCCCAATTTCCCATCTTGAGCCATGCTTAGCTCAGCCCTCATGGCCCAGGGCAGACAGACATCCAAAATCTTGTCTAGAGGAGGCCTCTCCACAAGTCAGCACAATTATCCCACCGTTCTCTAGGGCTCGGCTAGGAGTCACCTCCTCCAGGCAGCCTGCCGACAATCTCCCCTGGCCCAAGGGGACCACACCCATAGCCGCTAGGTTGAGGTGCCAGACCAGTGCTGTCCAACAGAAATGCAATGCAAGCCATAAATGTGGCAGTCGCATATAGCAAAGGAGAGACAGGGGAATTAACCTTAATCTTGTGTTCTAGGGCCAGCCCTGTGCACAGTGGTCAAGTGCTGTGGGCTAGGGAGCCGGGAGCCACATCGCGGACTGTGGTTTCAGTCACAGCCACAGCTGCTTGCAAAACATGGCGGGCACGGAACCAGCAGGTGGCGTAATGATTACATCACTGGACTCCCACGTAGTCAACCACGGTTTGAGTCCTGGATCTGGTGGCTTCAAACACACCGGGCGCGTGTGTGTGCATGCCCAAGGTCACAAGAGTAGAATGGAGGAGAAGGGATTGTGGCATGGCCATCCCCCCGGGGTGTGATTTCTCACTTTCTGTCTCTCTCTCTGTCTCACTGTCTCTCTCACACATGTGCCCTATAGCAAAAAAAAAAAAAAAAAAAAAAAAGTCTCTCTCTAAAACAAAATTAAAAAAAAACAAAAACATGCCAGGCATATGCACCTATCCAAAATCCTGACAGGAACAAAAAATGGGGAAAGGGTTGCCGTGTGACCACACCCCATTGGGGTATGCTTTGTCTCTCTTTCTTTCTCTCTGGCAAGCACAAGTGCTCTCTGACAAAAAAATAAATTAATTAAATATTAAAAAGCAAATTTAACATGTAAACATAGGGGCCAGCAGGTGGCGCGGTGTTCAAGGGTGCTGAACGCCCATATGGCTGGCCACGGTTCAAATCCTGGACCTGGCAGATTGCTTTCTCACTTTCTCTCTTGCTCACTGTGTCACTCTCTGGTCAAATTGGAAATAAGTAAATAAATAAAATAAAATTCAATAATATTTTTTTTGGAGAGGTTTTTGCTATAAAGGCATGTGCGCTTGCCAGACAGAGAGACAGAGAGAGACAGAAAGCGAGAAATCACCCCCCGGGGGGATGGCCACGCTGCAATCCCTTCTCCTCCATTCTCATCTCGGGATCTTGGGCACGCACGCATATGTGCCCGGCGTGAGTTTTAAGCCACCGGGTCCGGGACATGAACCGTGGTTGACTGCATGGGAGTCCAGCGACATAGCCATCACGCTAACTGCTGGTCCCTTTCAATAATTATTTTTTAAAAAGAATATTTAAACTTAATATTTTATTTAACTTAGTATTTCCCAAACATGTAATAAATATTATAAAAAGTGAGATATTATATATTTATTTATTATTTAGCTTGCTCTAGAGCTTGTATGCTTGCTGGTGAGGGAGAGAGTGTGCGAGAGAGACAGAGAGGGAGGGCGGGAGGGGGAAGGAGAGAGAGAGCGAGAAATCACCCCCAGGGGGATGGCCATGCCGCAAGCCCCGCTCCCCCATTCTCCTCTCTGGGTTCTGGGCTCACCCACGCCCAGTGTGATTTTCAAATCGCTGGCCCAGGACTTAACCCACATAGTGGGTCATGGGGGACGCAGCCGCCTTAACCTTCATGTCATCCGCTGGCCCTCTCCGTGTAGGCCTGTGTGCGCCTCGCACTGGCCGCCCTGTCACGGCTCAGGTGGCTGGCAGCTCAAGGCTCCCGCCAAGGGGAGCACGGCTCCCCTTGGAGCTCTCACCTGGCTCCGGCTCGTCACTTGAGTGGGTGTTACAGTCTAACTGGACAAGGGCCAGCTTGGGCTAGCCTGGTGATCTGGTGGTAAAGGGAGCCAGATCACATATAGCTGACTGTGTGGTTCGAATCCCGGCTCCCACAGCTTGGAAACATGCTGGGCGTGTCTGCATTCTCCAAATCCCGACAGGATAAAGGAATGGAGGAGAAGGGATTGTGGGGCGACCACACCACATCGGCGAGAGCTTTCTCTCCCTCACTCCGTCTCTCTGGTGAACACATGTGCCTTCTGGCAAATTTAAAAAAGAAAGCTAGATTTAAAAAGGCCCTGCAGCCGCGTGGACAGGCTGTCTCTGGCCCCAGTGCCCCCGCCAGCCCCAGGACGGGAGCAGGAGCTGTCAGGGTGCAGGAGCGGGCAGTGCTGGACCTGGGGAGCCGGGCAGGGGCGGGGGCCAGGCGGAGGGGGCTCACCTGGTGCTTGCGCTCCGCCTCCTCCTTGGCCTTCTTGGCGCTCATCTCCTTCCGGAGCTTCTCCTCCTCCGCCAGCCGCATTTTCTCGGCCTCCAGACGCCGCAGGTACTGCGGGAAGGGGCATGGGAGGCACCCGGATGCGGATGCGCGTAACCAGTCACAGTGCTCCTGCCAGCCCCACGGGCCCACCCAGATCGCGCTCTGGGACTGGGAGCGACTGTGCCAAACAATCTGGCAGAGAGGGAAACTGAGGCAACCAAGAACTCCAGGTTGCACAACGGGTTGGAGGTGCTGTTGGTCCCAAAGACAACCCAGGCCAGCCTCGGCCTCCCAAAGGGTCATGACAGTCACTGGGAAGGGCAGGGCTGGGAAGCTCAACCCGGCCCTTGGCTAGGAGCTGGAAACACGGCGTGTCACGCACTCCTCCGAGCAGGCAAAGCCGCCTGCCCCCAGGCCTGAGCTTCCCGGCCCTGCCCTGCTACCCCCAGGGGAGAGCACAGCTCAGAGGACACACTGGGGCTGGGCCCCTCACCTCGGCCCGGAGGCGCCGGTGCAGCCTGCGGGCGATCATGCCCCGGGCGTAGGCCTGCACGGTGAGCACTGCCCAGAGGCGGTGGCGGAAGGCCTTGCGCACCAGGTAGGCACGGCAGCGCGCCTGGAACTCAATGATACGCCGGCGGGCCAGGCGGTACTGCAGGTGCAGCTTCCGGGAGCGGTGCAGGGCCTGCAGGCGCAGGAAGCCCAGCCGCATCTGCAAGGACGACTCTCGCTCAGCCGTGGCCCCAGTGCAGGCCACCCTGCCTGGGAGCGCCGTGACCTGGGCTCTCCTGTGACTGGCACCCCAGGCTCAGCTGGCTCCACTTGGGGAGCCCCAGCCCTGGGTGAAGCTCATCCCCTACTAGGCAGACCTTTCCTAGACGGTGCCTCGACCCTCCCCGAGAAGGGGTCCCTCAGGCCAAGAGCTGCGGCCACTGTGCTTCCTTCTCCCCAGCCCAGTCCAGACTGCAGCTGGCTGCCCAGAGGCCCACGTGACCAGCCACTGCTGTCCCCAGACGTCTCTAATGACCCCAGGGTGTCACAGCCCAACAAGACACCCCTGAAGAAAAGCAGCCCGTGTGCTGACTGGGTGCGGACTTCGAGCTGGGGGAGTGACAGGAGCCGACTGGGCAGAGACCAGCCAACCAGGGCCCGCCAGGCTGAGCTGCCTGGTGAAGCAAGTCCTGCCACCATGGCAACGGGGCCAGGCTCAAAGGCCACGGGGCCACAGGCAGCCCCTCCAGGTCGCTCACCAGCCCGTAGTTCTTCCTGCAGCGGTGGCCTCGCCAGTGCCTCTGGATCAGCGTGGCCGCGTCCTTGAGCTTCAGGAAGTTGGACCTGAAACAGCAGCGGTGCTGGGGAGGGTCTCAGTGAGGAGAGCCGGGGCTGGGGCGTGGGGTTTGGGGCCGGCACAGCACGGCTGAGGCCCAGTGCTATGACTTGCCAGCTGTGAGACCGGGGTGAGGCATGGCACGTCCCTGTGCCCCAGCCCCCAGCTGTAAACAGATAGCACGAGGCCTCCCTGCCTGCCCAGGCCTTCACGAGATACCTGTTGAATGGATGAGCGTGCGAATTAAAATAACTGCAGCAGTACGAGCGACTGACAGTGTGAACACTAACGTCCTCATTCTGTAGACAAGGAAACAGACATGGCGGGGTTGGACCACAGCCTGTGCGCGTTGACTGGCCCCTGCACACAGGAGCCTGCAGGGGTGTGAGCGTGTGAATGCAGGGGTGTGTGTGTGTGAACACAGGGTGCATGCGTGATTGTAGGGGGTGTGTGTGTGACTGCAGGGGTGTGAGCGTGTGAATGCAGGGGTGTGTGTGTGTGAACACAGGGTGCATGCGTGATTGTAGGGGGTGTGTGTGTGACTGCAGGGGTGTGAACGTGTGAATGCAGGGGTGTGTGTGTGAACACAGGGTGCGTGCATGATTGTAGAGGTGTGTGTGACTGTGGGGGTGTGAGTGTGTTAGTGCAGGTGTGTGTGTGTGAACACAGTGTGCGTGATTGTAGAGGTGTGAGTGTGACAGTAGGGGTGTGAGTGTGTTAGTGCAGGTGTGTGTGTGTGAACACAGTGTGCGTGATTGTAGAGGTGTGAGTGTGACAGTAGGGGTGTGAGTGTGTTAGTGCAGGTGTGTGTGTGTGAACACAGTGTGCGTGATTGTAGAGGTGTGAGTGTGACAGTAGGGGTGTGAGTGTGTTAGTGCAGGTGTGTGTGTGTGAACACAGTGTGCGTGATTGTAGAGGTGTGAGTGTGACAGTAGGGGTGTGAGTGTGTTAGTGCAGGTGTGTGTGTGTGAACACAGTGTGCGTGATTGTAGAGGTGTGAGTGTGACAGTAGGGGTGTGAGTGTGTTAGTGCAGGTGTGTGTGTGTGAACACAGTGTGCGTGATTGTAGAGGTGTGAGTGTGACAGTAGGGGTGTGAGTGTGTTAGTGCAGGTGTGTGTGTGTGAACACAGGGTGTGTGCATCATTGTAGAGGGGGGTGTGTATGACTACAGGGGTGTGAGCGTGTGACTACAGGGGTGTGAGCATGTGAATGCAGGGGTGTGTGTGTGAACACAGGGTGTGTGCATCATTGTAGAGGGGGGTGTGTATGACTACAGGGGTGTGAGCGTGTGACTACAGGGGTGTGAGCATGTGAATGCAGGGGTGTGTGTGTGAACACAGGGTGTGTGCATCATTGTAGAGGGGGGTGTGTATGACTACAGGGGTGTGAGCGTGTGACTACAGGGGTGTGAGCATGTGAATGCAGGGGTGTGTGTGTGAACACAGGGTGTGTGCGTGATTGTAGAGGTGTGTGTGTGACTGCAGAGGGGTGTACCATGTGCCCGATGTGGTGTGTCGTGATGGGTTTTTGTCAACCATGTTCGTGTTCCCCATGTTGGCACAATCACACATGTGTGCTATGCGTATGTGTGTTTCCTTTTCTTTTTTTTTGGTCAAGGTTTCTGCCGTAGGTGTGTGAACTAACTGGATAGAAACAGAGACAGTGAGCGGGAGGAGGAGGAATCACCTCTGGAGGAACGGCCACACTGCAATACCTTCAATCTTTCTCTATTCTTCTCCTGGGACTTGGGACATGGACCCACACCTGACATGATTTTCAAGCTACCGGGTCTAGGGCTTGAACCATGGCCAGTCATGTGGAAGTCCACTGCCTTAACTACCATGCCACCAGCTGGTCCCATGTGTGCGTCCCATGTGTCCCTGAAGAGCAGGGCGAGCCGCACACGTGCGCCGGTGGGCTGGTCACACGCACCTGTCCTTGAAGCCGCGGATGACCTTCTGCAGCAGGATGACCCTGTCGGTGATGGCCTTGTCCCGCTCCACCTCCAGCAGCATGTCATGGTGGTCCTGGAAGGCAGCGCTCCTGAGCCGCGTCCCCAGAACCGCCCGCTCCAGGGCCTCCAACTCACTCCCGGGGGCCCCACGCAGAGGCTGCCCATGGCTGCCAGGACAGAAGGGATTGCTTCCCAGAGGTCCGGGTGGGGCAAATGGAGCAGGCGGGGCTGACGCCACTGATGAGGTCAGTGTGTCCTGTGAACACACACAGCGGCTTCGTCCCTGCCACTGTCTCTGCCAAAGTTCCCACTAGGTCAGCCCTGACCCATCCAGGCCCCTGTTGCTCCTGCTTGGCTCTCAGACCCGCAGCCTCCAAACCAGCCTCCCAGCCTCCATCACTCCCTCTTGCTCCACGAGCAGCCAGAAGGACCCTCCCAAAGGCAAACCTGATGGGAACCCACAGTGCCACCATGATCCCTGGGTTCAGCCTGGGCTCCTCAGCTGGCCCTCCAGGCCCTCCATGGTCCAGGCCCCTTGACTGGCCCCCTCCCCTCGTCCCCGGGGCCCAGCCCTCGCTGTACTTGCACAGAGCTGGTCGTGCAGCCCATCCGTGCCAAGTGTCTCTGCGGGTACCGTGCTGTGTGCTGGGGACCACAGGGAGCTGGCCCTGCCCAGTGGGCACGGACACAGTCCTCAGTTAGGCCCAGCACCGGGAGGGCTGGCCAAGGGTTTCTGAACGGATGAGCCTCGGGCCTTTGGCCTCTTGACATGGGACTCAGAAGGATCCAGAAGGGGCAGGGCGGGGGAGGGACACCTCTCTGAGTTCTGCTCCAAGTGCCATGGACCTGCTGCCTTCCCTCCTTGGCCTCCCAGGTGGGGCACCAGGCTACCCAGAGCTAGAGCCCCATGCTCAGATCCCTGCTGCCTGCCCTGGGCAACCTGCTTCTCCTGGGGCTGGCAAAGGTGCCCACCTCACAGGGCTGTCCAAGGACCCAGAGAGATCGCAGCGCCAGCCCCGCACTGGGGCCTGGCACACTGCACACCGTCCCTAGCTCCGAGGAGAACGAGACATGCGTTTCCAATGAGGAAACGAGGCTTGGAGGCTAGAGGAGACAAGGGACTGGCTGAGGCTACAGACCAGACCCCAGACGCCCTGCAGGGCAGGCTCCTCCTTCCCTCCCCCAGCTGTCCTGGGTGCCGGGTCCCACCCCCGCCCAGGGGAAGGAAGCCTCCTGCCACCAGAAATCTCGAACAGCACAGCGGAAATGAAAATGGGGAAGCCCAGGAGCTAGGAGTCCACCCCTATCGGGCCCGCACAGCTGCTGGGGCACCAGCGCTCCCCAGGACTCCGCCTCCCACGCCCAGTTCCTGCTTCCGTCCCCCAAAGCCAGGGAGGGCCCTGTGGTGGTGCAGAGTCTGACCCCAGCCCTGGCAGAAAACCACGGTGGGGGCCGAACACGCACTCCAGATATGCACCAGATACCCCATCCCATTTCACGAGTGAGAAAACGAGGCTCTGAAACGGCAGCCCTCGCCCTGGTGTGGATGAAGCAGGAAGGCCTCACCCTGCACGGGCCCCTCCAGCCATTCACAGCCAGGCAGGGAAGGTCCCAAGGCCAGGA